GTACAGTATATAACTCTGCACTACTACTACATATATATATATATATATATATATATATATATATATTGACTGGTATTGAAACATGTTCAGCATCTACAGCTAATTATGTTAGCTAAGAAACATAGCTACCACTTATTTTGTATATATTGTGTGTGCTCCCTGTGTGCTCTTACTACTGTCCTAAATGTGCGCTGTAACATTGAAATTTCCCCACTGTGAGACGAATAAAGGAATTATCTATATTTAAGTTTTGGGGGGCACTGAACCTGCTCTCCAGTTTCCAGAGGGAAACAGTGAGACAAGAGAACAGAACAGCAGCCACACACTGGAAATCCAAAATGCCAAAGGGAATACGCAGGAGACGGGAAACTTCAGACCCCTGCCCAGGCACATGTTCCGGGACACCCCACAGCCACACTCAGCACTAAACATACCACTGTATTGGACACCTCTGTGCAACTTCCCCAGATGCTGACTGAAGTGCTCTGTTCTTTTTGGTAAAATGTATTTACGTTTCAACAGGTCTTCTTCACCTGTTACCTTTGATCCAGCGTGGCAGGTCTTAAATAAAGATGCTCAGGTCTTATTGTATTATACTTACAAAGTTGAAATGGAATGTACAAGATTCACTTAAATATGTATGTTATAAATAGTCATTTAGTGCAAAGATTTCAAGACGTATCCTGCAAAATCTACTTTTTCTCTTCTCCATGTCCACCAACATGGTTCCTCATCAGTCACAGACCCGGAATTGTTTTGAGATCCATTTGGGCTAGATGAAATTGAACTTCTGGCACACACGTGTAGCTCCGCCCCCTCTGTCTAAAAACTCTTGTCTAAGTCCTGTAACAGTATGATGTCATTGTACAACTTTGACATCACACTCAGCAGGTACCTACATGTCTGTGTTTGCAGCTCCCTCTTGTTGCATCATAGGTAGTTACAGGCTTTTACCCTTCGTACTTGTTAATCTTTTGACTGAAGATATTGTTTCACATTGTAAAACATACAATGACAAAATAAACAGTCTCATAATTTTAATGACGGAAAATGAAAGTTATTTAAAATGGTCTGAAGCTGAGTGTGGTCTATGTGCTTTGTTTTGTTGATTATAATAATAATGTCTTAATAAGGTCTTAGATCATGGCTCCTGTGGACTCACCACCAGCAGGAGGATCAGTGTACTGACCCAGAAGATGGATGGTCTTAAATCTGCTCCACCGTGATAGCAGCTCAACAGCTCTCTCTGGTGGCACGGTGAAGTCACACTTTCTCTGTTTGTTCCAATTCCTGCTCTTTGTTAAAAACACTTTCACTTTCACGACTGATCTGTGAATTCTGCATTTCACTGGTGCTGGGTTCAAACATGATTTAAAAATGTATCATTTTTTTATACGATCAAACGCTTTCTTAAAGTTACTTCTGTGAATAGGGAGAGGTGTATTTTAAATGCCAGTTAGCACAATGAATTCAAATTCTTGAGAATTCCCAGAGACCCCTACCATTGTTTTTTCAGAAAATCTTGCTGGTGGTGGTTATGCAAAGAGTAGTTTTAAATATATGTATTTTGAAGAATACTTAACATAGATGCATAGCCCTATATAGGGAATATATATCTTTTCCAAATGAAATACAACTGAAGTTACAGACTTCACCTTTAAGTGCAAGTTGATATTGTGGCGCTGAAAATTTTCTATAAGTTGCGACCGAACAGAATGTGTTTGTTTCAGATGCAACGACAGTTACATAAACACTCATTTAAAACAGAGTTAAACAATAAATGAATATATATGTATGTGTATAGATATATATTATTGTTGATGTTTATTAAATATTATATATATATATATATATATATATATATATATATATATCCAAACAACCAGGATCTACAGCCATGACATCGGGATGTCATTCGGGCTCGAGAAATGTAGCAGGATGGTGACTCGGAGAGGCAAGGTAGTCCACACAGAAGGGATCTCACTCCCAGAGG